TAGAAATTTTTTGAAAATTATTTAGTTAAAAATTTAAAAATGAAACAAAGATATTAAAAAAAATTAAAAACAAAAATTAAGAAAAATAATTTAACTATATTGGTAACCTAAAATTTTCTAAAAACTTACTTCAAAAACCAATTCGCTACACTTTTGTGCCAAAAGTATACTTCACCCATTATTTCTTAAAGAATGTCAGAAGATTTTTTAAGTACTAGCTTTCTTATCAATTATATCAATATATTCAGGCATATACATATGTATAAGGAAGCAAACTACAGGGATATTTATGTTTTTGTTTTTCATCTTTTTTTGGTTTACTTTTTAATTTAAATTTAGTAGCTAAAAATATATAATACATAATAAACATAGATAGTAATACATTAAAGCAAATACGCATGTGTACACATGAACAATATATAATTAATATTACATAATATTTATTTTACTTTTATCTTATTTAGTTTATACAGAGTACGAACGTAAAAGCAGCGAATAAGCTTACACACGAGCGCAAAGATGTCTGTCGCAATTCGTGTTCGGTGTGCTTATGTGTGTGCTACCGACGTGTATAAACAACAAACTTGCTACTTAATCTAGGGATTAAATCAACTTTATGCACGCGACTTAAATTATGAGTTTTTTTTTTTTTAATTTTTACGTTTTTAAGTTTTTACTTTTTATTTATTATTTGTGATTTTTATGCTAAGCTACATACCGTTTTATTTTATTTATTTTTATTTTTGGTTTTTAGTTTTATCGATTTTTTTAACTTTTATGGTTTTATTTTTTTTATTGTTTTGGAAATACTTATATTTTTAGTATAGATTACTTTGTAACTCACAATTTGTTGTAGCATTTAATGCTTATTCACTGTTTTTTATATTTTTCTCCAATTATTTTTTGATTTTTTTTTTACAGTTAAAAAGTTATGTATACGCCTAAGTGTGCTAGCGTCATACAACTACAATACAAATACCAGCAGCTAGCTACGACTTTTGTAAGAGTGGGCGTGTGCATGTTTGTGCGTATGTGTGTGTGTGTGACTTGAGTTTTTGTATTTTTTGTGCGTTTGCATGTGTGTCTCCGTTATAGTTTTGCTTGCGTTGGCTAACTGTTGCTTGTACCGTTAGCTAAGCAGCGTTCTTCATTCAACTTTTTGTCATTTTGTTTGTTTTTATGTTCCCTTCAACTATTTTCTGTAAGTATGTAAGCTTTTTTTTGTATGTGTATTACATCAGTGTGTGTGCGCTTGTTTGTGTTTGTGTTTGCGTTTTATTGGACATTTTGGCATTTATGGCACAAGTTTCTTGAATCCAGCACCTTCTTGGCCAAGTTTGAGCTCTTCGTAAATTGTCGGATTTACTTCATTGCATTGTGTGTGCGCGTCCGCGTTCGCATCATTGACGATGCCATCACGTTGCGCCAATTGGGCGGTAGTGCCGGCATGCGTGATGGCCGATGTCACTGTGGGCAACTGTACATATGTAGGTATGTATGTGTAGGATTTATTTTTAAATATTTTTGTTTTCATTTCATATAAAAAATATAAATA